AATTAGTTTCGATATCCAAACTATTTGCAATGGATACTGTAAATAAAAACCTCGATATTTGAGCATCAAGTACTATTTCTGGCCATAAGAAAAAAAACCATTCTACAAAAAAAAATTCAGATATCAGCAGTTTTCGTGTTCATCAGTCGAATGCGAGAATAATGCATGCAACAAGGTATCTCAAAACGATTTTAAAGAAAATTTTGTGAATTTTACAGCCAACAGATCTTTTCCAGTAGGGCTAGCGTTGTCTTGGAGTCGACTTTGCACAATCACTTCTTGGTTGTATATTGAAAACACAAGTGTAGCGAACTAAAGAAAGAAATACTAATAGAGTTCAGCCAATTATCGTTTACTTTGACGAGTTCGTATCATCGACCACATTCTTTGTACGAAGAGTACCAGCTTAAATATATCCTCATGAAAGAAAAATGAAGAGAGATGACAAAAATGAGACGTGGAAGAGTAGTAGATTCAGAAATATCTATCATCAATCTAAAAAGACTCAAAATAGTTCTACTTTCCGCTTCCAATTTTTGTGAAGCTCACATATATTTGCAATGAGAATAGTGAGTATAAGTTTTGAGTTCGGATTTTGCGAGCCGCCATCCGATTACAGACCATGGCATCGTAGACCTCATTACAGACACTCAACAGACACATCATATAGATGACTAAGAATAGCTTGTTCTCAATGCTGTGAGCAAACAAACAAAAGCTTGAATATATTGCAAATCAGCGACAAGAAATTCTTAATATTCTCTATAATCGTGCTAAGTATTGATAGGAAAAAAGCTTGTGTCCTCTAAATCTTAATCTACTCTGTTTGACGCTCACCGTTGACAAATTTTGAAATATAATACATTAAAAATTGAAGATTCTCTATTAAATCAGCAACTAAACGACGTAGAATATGTGAGTTCTAGACTTTTGCTCATTAAGAACTGCGCTAGTAAGCTTGTTTCATAATGCATATAACGTTTTATATTCTGCGGTCCTGAATTTGTCGAAGTTATTTTTACGTAATGGTCGATATAAAATGACTTCAACATGTATCACTGCATAGAATATTTAGGTAACTTATCCTTCTCTTGTTGATGTTAATTCATATGCTCTCGCAACCACTCCACTGGACACTGTCTACATTGCTCACAGTTCTCTTCCAAACGCTGTAAGTAACATATAAAAAAACAGTGTTGCACAAGCAAAAATGAATAATTCATTTTTCCAAGGGTCTAGGAGCATTTGCCACCCGCACTCCACACTTCCTTTTTACATTTTGTGTTGTTTGTTTACTTTTTGTTTTTTATTCATGCTTTTTCTCGCAATACANTGTTTTGACTTTGTTTAACATGATTTCTGATGGTGAATGTCTAATTACGTAGAAATATAAAATGATTGAAAATACATCTAGACATATAATACTTACACTCGATCTTCGTCAAAATCAATTTAACAATCGACTACTTTTCGATTAGATTAAAAAAAAAATGTTTTAAATTTAAAGTTAATTCAAATTCAAATTTTTCCGCTCCAAAATTTAAATTTTTTTAAATTTTAAATCAGCCTAAATTCAAATTTAATTTAAATTTAGGTTAAATAAATTGTAAATTGACACCCCTATCATTTTTGCGAAAAAAACTATTATCAAGAAAGAGTTATTAAACTCTAATGGAAAACATTTTTAGGGTGATTAATTAAACAACATACTAAACTAAATTACTTAATTCAATCAATTTATCCTCTCGTTTATATGCGACGAATTGTCGTGCGACGAATTGTACTAGTACCGAAGTTTAAGCCGCAAGGCATAACGAGACATGTGCCGTCGTGTGCTAAAGATTGGTGTAAGAAGAACAACATTCAAATGGGAAACAAGTAATGAAAACACATCACTTGGTATGACAATCGGAAATAAATGATGTGATTAATTTAAACCAGACCGTGGAGGGTTAATCACTGAAGAGTCCGACTGGCTGTCCAGCGATGGATCAAACGAACTGACCACCGAAAAGACACTTTTAAACTTTCCTTTTCATTCTTTTTTTCTTGTGTAACTTTTTGTTTGTTCATTTTTTTTTTGTCTCACCCTACATCTTTTTGGTATTTCGGGTATACAATACAATACAATAAATTAATTTATTCAGATTTTTTTTTCATTCAGTCACTCTAGATAAAACCAATATCTGTACAAATCTCACTCTTTGCTTAATAAATTATCTTTGAATTGCATTTTAAATCTAATTGAATTGTATGTTCTTTAAAGTAACACATTCCATTGTTTACATATGGATGCTGATTGTATTTGGAAGTTTCAACATTATTCATTAGTGTCTTATTATTTATCAAGACCATCTCTGCTACCACCATTTGTTATTATAACACATCTTTGGCATTTAACACTCTTTTTTTTTCTCGAATTGTATTAAATCATCATGGTTTCTTAGGAAATATCGTGAGCATACAAATCAATCGAAATTTAGTGAGTTATAGAGAAATCTATACAATTCAATTCATTTCTATTTTTTCACAGAAATTGTTGCTGATTAAGAATTGACAAGAAAGATTGAATCAATTGAAGATGCACTTGGCAATGAAGTTTGTTTTTAATCTAATCGAAAAGTAGTCGATTGTTAAATTGATTTTGACGAAGATCGAGTGTAAGTATTATATGTCTAGATGTATTTTCAATCATTTTATATTTCTACGTAATTAGACATTCACCATCAGAAATCATATGAAACAAAGTCAAAACACTAGAAAGTCCAGTACAATTAATACAAAATCAAGTGATATATTTCATGATTATATTCTATAGTTCGAAATTACTTTTTTAGCAAGTGAATATGTTCGAATATCTGAAATGTTTAACGAATGGAATAAAAAAGATCGGCGGGGATGATATTGAAATGCCTAAATGATATCGTATAGTGTCTGATATATCATGTATGTTATCTCTTTTAGTTAGATTTCAGTTTTTTTTATTTTTGAAAACTTTAGACAAAAAAAACAGCTTTCAGCACATTTCTTGCGCGACTAAAACGTGAAACACGACGGAACAGTTTCACATCGATATTAAGATATTTGTTATTTTCATCGCAATTCTCTAGACAGTTCAGGAAACATTATTTCGAAGCGATTGTGACAATATGTAATTGAGACTCATGTATTACACCACGCAAGAAGAAAATAGATTTTCAGCTTCGAGAGTTCAAATTGATAGAGAAAAAACCGAACTCTTTCAAAATAAAGCAGTTTAAGGTTTCAAACGTTGTAATATCGCAATCCAGAAATTCAGAATTCCATGGTTCAAAAATATCATAAAACTGTAGTTCACGAATCGGTAATATCATTTGTCGACATATCTGTTACAGTCCGTGTGTGGAGTTCACTTGTCTCGCTCTATACTTTAACACTCATTTTCAATCGTATTTAACAAAAAATGTGCATTACGCATCTTATTTCTATTCACGAATTATATGATTTTGTTTTTTAGGACATGATTTTGCTTGATTTTCATCGTCTACAATCGGCGTTCATGTTCATGAACTACTTATAAGTTAACTCAGTAATTTATATTCATTTCCGTTAATATTTATCATGTCAAAAAACAAAAATATCTCTCATGCATAGTCCTTTCATATCTATCTNACCTTTACGATTATGATTGGTTTTATTATATTTGCAATCGCACAAGAAAAACTCAAAAAGGAAAAAAGTTGCAATTATCAATACAGTAAACTAAGAGAGAAAATCAGTTCATCGAGATAGAACTGAATCTTTGTTGTCTCTAAACCATCTTAATTTTATTGGAGGATGACCTTTCAGAGCATTGAAGTGTGCTTTATTGAGTTCATGATCCTGCGCTATCTAATAATTATAATAAAATAAAGATCTCGCAATATATATGTAGTATTGAGTCATCGTTGAGTTATTCTAAACTATTCCAAAAACTTGAATTTAAAAAAAACTCCTAAAACCGGAGAGAAATTAGGAAATCGGAAAGTGATCTCAAAAATATGCTAAAATCGGAAAAAATCGGAACGTCGGAAAGTCGTCGGAAAAAATCTCAAAAATCGGAATTTTTCCTGCCATATCGGAAGATCTGGCCACCCTGGTGTGGATGTAGGTAATTGTTTTCCTTTCATGCGCAATCTCACCCGCATCCTCAGGGTGGAAGTGAAGCTGGATCTCTGTGAACCACTGAGTCTAACAGATAACAATCTTGACCTTGGGCTCAGAACTTTCATAAAGTCTCTCCTATTCCTCAACCATGCATTTTGTATTTTCATTCTACGAAGGTTTCCCAGGCACTCCTTCATCCAAAGTTGATTGTACAATGAATTACAGATGACAAACCATGTCGCCACTTGGTGAACTATTACTCATGTATAAGTATACTTCCTCAATCACTAGAAGAGCTCTTGTTCACTTTAAAAAAACTGATCTAGAGCCCAGCTGAGAGTCTAGAAGAATGTTCCGTCTCCTCGTGGTATCCTGAAACAGTCTTTCTAACATTTTCAGGAAGATGTCGGGTCCGAAGATGAGTTTCGTATGAGGGATAGCGCAGATCGATTCTTTCTTGGTCAGAAAGATGATACGAACGTCATTCTAAAGTCGAAGAAAAACCAACGAAGAGAAGGATAGATTGAAGAGTTGAACAAATAGGCACAATTACTCCTGTGGAAGAAATTTAAACATGAACGTGGATAGATAGTGTGGGTCATATCAATGCTTTTTCATTTAGAAAAGCCATCATCGGGATGACTTCTTCCACAGAAGCTTTCTGTATCGCGACCGGTTCACATTATCCAAGGCAACTTACGATGCGTTCATATATTTTTTCAACAGAAATAGCGCAGTGACTTTTAATGAATGTTAGATAAAACTACTAAAAAGGAAAAATACATGAATGAATTCTGTCGAAGTTTGACGATTGTTTTAATTGATTTTGTCATAATAAAAAAACAGCATGATTGTAGTCGAGCATGAAATACTGATCAATCGCGTTTTTGTTTAGGTGAATTTTTGCAACATCGACGTATAAGAAATAATAGCATTGTTATCGGTAGTACAACACATATGAGCAAGAGATCGAGCATGCATCGTTGATAGAGTGGTAATGTACTGTGAAATGGCGCGAAGCGATCGAGATCACCGTTTAGTGCGACGAAAAACTCAATTTCCTGAACAGCACGTTTGGTACCACCGGCATATTTCATTTCCAATGACATGAACATGACAGCTTTTTCATGTGTTTCATTCATCCACAATGCCATCACATTGTTTGTAACACTAGCGGATATAAATGTGTAGTTAACAAAATTATATGGATTTATCAAAGATCTCCAAGGTGACGGCGGAATGAATAATGATTTTCCAACGTCCAAATTCACTACCGTAATTGCATTGGCAAATTGTTCCATATTGAAAGGCATGCACACAACCGGCTTTCCAAAGTAAAGCGATTCTACTAATGAACCCATACCACAATGACTCAAGAAGATTTTCACAGAATCTTGTTGTAGAATCCATTTTTGTTGAACAAAGCCTTCTTCAATACGTACTCGATATTTGTCATGCAAAATACTTCTCAATTCATCATCATACAAATCTTTCACAACTACTTGATACATATTGAAATTAGTACTACGAAGTGCTAATAAAAGTACAGTGTCATTCGTTTGTAAAAGAAAATCTGCTAGTCCAATTATCAAGTTGCGCATTCGATTATAAGTAATCAACGAAGTACTACCGAAAGCTCCATATATAATCGATTTTGACGGTTTGGATTTCACCCATCGATTAAGATCCGTGTCTTGACCATCAATACGTGTCACATCCATAAAGGCACCCAAATATTTCAAATAATAGTTTGAATAGTTGGGTACAAAGAATCTCATGGGCATACTGATCAGATGTAAGCATTTTGTTTTCGAAAAAAGTAAACTTCGTACTGTGAAAGTATCGTAAAAAGGTCCTGGTACTCGTGGAAGAGACGGAATAAGTGAATACAGGACAGGTACTATTTTAGGCAATAGTCTTATTGTCATTCGTAGAGTAAAAGCAACATTGTAAAGACGAGATGAAAGTTGAGTTAAATCTTTTGTTGTTGTCAATGAAAAAATATTGGGTAAATTGAAGTCGAGGATACTGGGAAATGCACCCGGGTTGTGAATGACGCAAGGTATGCTCATTTTTTCGCATAAAATAGGCACACCAACAATCACTGTACTAGACACGATCACGTCGAAGCGTTCGTTCATGAGTGTGTGAATAGTCTTGTTCAGAATCGGTGAGATCATATCGGCGAATGCTGTTAATATAATTGGCATGCAATCCAAAATTGATCGAGTGGCAACTACGGATAGTAGTTCTTGTTCTCGACTCCTTTCTACCAAAAGTGCATTGGATGAATCATTCGAATAAATAACGCGAAAAGAAGACGAAGTGAAACCATCGAAATTTATATAGGATTGAGCCAGTTTACCAGTAAGAAATGTTACATTATGATTTTGCATAGCTTTTGCTAGTTCAAATAAGGGTGTTACGTGGCCTCCAAGACCCAAGCTAATAACTAGAACATTCAAACCATTGGTTTGAGTAAGATATAACAACATAAGTAAACACGTGCTACGAATATATGTTAACATTCTGATCCGGAACGCAATTTGCTATGAAGTGATGAATCGAAAAATATTTTGTTCTTGTTGTATATGTGTTTGTCTTGTCGTTATATACTGTCAATAGCAACAATGTGTGCGAATTATTCATGTTTGTACGACATATAACGTACGACGTGTTTTTGATGTTTATGCATGATTATTTTTTTCTTTCCTCATTTTTCTCGTTCTCAGAATAGAAATGGTAATCTTGCTAGCCAGTAAAAGTAAAAAGAGATGGCGTATTCAACCGATGTTGTATCAGGATGATCATAGTGTTATTAACAATTAAGTCTTCCTAACATCAGTTGATAAAAGAATTCAATAGGGATAAATTTATTTTCCTTCATTGCATGTTGTCGCTTGGATAGCGTTTTCTTTTTTGTTATTCTTCAAATGCAATGCTACAACTAAAAGGCTTCAAGTATCTACTTATGCTCACCTACTTTCATGCTTGTCTTGATTCTGATTGACTTGTAATCGATCTCGTTAGTCGAGAAAACTTCGGCAACTAGAACATTAATTAGAATTATCTATTTGGTTCTTTCGAAGTACGCACATAGCAAAAAATGGACAAACGATGATTGTCTTCTCTTCTACGATAATTATGTGAAAGTAAACGTTAAATCAAGAATTCGATTGAAATGATGCTTCATTGAACCGGGTAGTTTCGTTCAACATGGTACATAGGTCAAATCGTATTCTCAAATAAGAACAGAATATGTTTGTATTTTGCATAAACATCGTCGTTCTGCAGATTTTACAGAACTCTACTACGAAAAAAGCTAGCAAACGTATTCCGCGACCAACACGAAACAAGTGCATTGCATATTCATATGACTATTCCCAAACTAACGATATTTTTATTCAATATTTATATATTTGCTCAACTCTACAGGAAAAGTATTTTCAAGTTAAAATAATCGAACTTTGTCAATCTCAGTCAATAATGATTGAGCGCCATCGTGTGAGCACATGGAAATTCCGGTACAATTTGTGCTATATTGAATAGAATTAATCATGTGTATAAGATGATGTGAGTCTGGGCAAACAGTAAGAGAAAGTTCGCATTCACATTCTTGATTCTAACATTTTCTTGGTTTAAATAAACTTAGTTTTATCAATTGATCATTTAAGTGATGCGAATATTGTGAATATCATATGATTTGTTCCGCTCATTAAAAATTGTATTTTTTTATCATTCGGAGATTTGTTTCCTTTCGATATATAATTATATCTTCTTCTTACCGAGTTTTTGTTTACATTGTCTTCTACTAGGCTGCTCATTTATGTTTGCTTCTTATGATTCTCTAATGATTGTAGAAGATCAATATACAATGAAATTTTTCGCCTTCTCCAGACATCATGTGTATAAAGACATACAAACTTAATTGCTCATCAATGAAGTTGTTACGGTGATGTGGCACGTTAACATATTCATTATCTTGTTATTCTCTATCCTGTTTGTTTTGTCTTCTTTGATCTCTATTAGTATCTTATTTTCTTAGCATTCTATTTATACATATATATGAGTGAATTGCAACTTTATTGTACCATTTTGGCAAAAAAAACGGGCGAAAAAGAAGTTTCGATTCGAAAGCTGATAAGTCGTGTTTTTAACTGTACTATATGAGAGGAGAAATAGAATAAATTTTCCCGACTACCACTATAACTATAGCCATGATATAAGAGAATCATTCAAAA